TTCTTCTTCAAAGAGTCTTTTCCAATATTCTTGGTTTTGTATTTCAATCATTTCTTTTCTTTGATTTCTGTTTTGTTTCTTATTTTGATATTGTTTGTACCTTCTTTGTGTGTTATTATGGTATTTGTTTCTATTATATTGATATTGTTTATTTCTATTGAAATTATTATTAAAGTGTTTATGACGATGATTATGATTGAAGTGATGAGTGAAATGATTTGTATCATCTATGTTGTGATAGTTATTGTTATAATTATTATTGTAATGGTTAGTGTGATTATTCATGTATCTCTGTCTATACAGATAATATCTATTTTCACTCATTCTTCTATCATTTATATTTCTTTGATGATGTGAAAGTCTTATTTTTTGATTATTTGTTTTTCTATATTTTTTGTGGTGTCTCCTGTAATGCATTTTTTTGATGAAAATATACATATAAATAATAAACATAAAAAGAATAAAATATTTTTCATCAATAAAACAATACCAATTATTTTACATCATTAGATTAGACACTTTTATTGAATATTTCTAATTTTTACATTAAAAATACACCATTTATTTCTTCTTTTCTTCTTTTATTATCTATTCTATTTTATTATTTTTATGTTCTTTCTTCTTATATTCTCTACTTTCTACTTTATTTTTATTCTTTACTCTAGTTTATTTTTATTCTTTTATATCTTTCTTCCTCCTCTTTTCTATTATTTGCTTTTTTCGTTGCCTATTTCACACATTAAAGTAATACTATTCTCTTTATTACTAAGATACAAACACAATTTACAATAAATGATTTGTACAACTATCCATCACCTAAACAAGTATTGTGATTAGTAAATAAATACAAATTTAAAATTCAATTAGAATATGATTTGTTTTTTTTTACTTAAAAGTCTATTTATGTACTAAATACATAATAGAGAATTTTGGTTTATTTAACATAAGTTATTACATTAAGTTATTTTCCTGAGAGTATGAGTTTTATTAATTTGACCATTTCCCATTGAATGATATAAAAATATTCTGTTTTTAGAATTGATATTGTTGAGAATAAAAAGGAAATAGAAGATACTTGGAAAGAATAAGAGTGTGATAATAAACTAAATAAAATAAAAGTAAATTGATTAGTATATTCATCAAATTGTTCTATTTCTATCAAAAATACATTTTAATAAAACATTCTTATTAAATCAATTTTAATTATGGTTTAAACATACCCACTTAAAATAAATAAAAAGATATTTTGTGTTTATTTGATGATTTTATTTTTATTAGACCATTATTGTTTTCTTCTTTTTGTTGTTTACTTTGCTGTTTTATAATTTCTTTTATCTTATAACTTCTTTTGTTTAATGTAGTAAACGACTTACTTTTCTTTCATTACTATATATACTGTATATTTCAATTCTTGTTAACTTTAGAGTCATTTATTCTTTTTTTTCATAATCAACTATTTAACTTAGCTTTTTATTTTATCATTGTGTGACATTCTTTTTCTCGTTGTTTTTAAGTATATGATTTAATTGAAATCTAACGTATCATAGTTTTACATTATAAAAACTAGTATAACATATTCAGTTAATTCTTTCTTTTGTTATATGGTTATCATTAATAAAAATAAATAATTCTAACATATTAGATATTTGAAATGAAACAGAAATATAACTATATCAAGTATTATATGTACATTTTCATTTTATTTCTTGAATGAAAGAACGAAATACTGATTCATATTGTTGATTTCTATGATACTTGTGATGTGTTATAACATCATTCTCAAAATAACTTATTTATCTTATTCACCTTTAAATACTAAATTCATTGTGCTTCATTATACTATTCTTTATCACTATTCTGTTATCAGTCTTAACAAATTATCACTTAATTTCATACCACCTTTTGTGCTAAGTTAGTATGAATTGGTTAAATATGGATCAAGACAATTGACCTTACAAGATATAAATGAATTTGAACATGATAATATAAATGTATTTTTATAACATGGCTAATGTTTCTTTCACAACGTTATTATGATACATATATAAAAAATACATCATATTTTATATTTAAGTTATGTTTATAACTATGTGTTTTGTTTGTTAGTATTACCCTTTGTTTATATAATTGTTAGTTGTTTCATTTTTAACCTTTTCTCATGTTTATTTAAAATCCATAACACTTTTATTATATTCTTCAGTGTTTTTTGAATATAAATAGTGAATTTATGCTATTTAATTATTTAATACGTGATAATGTTTATTGACTTCACTGTTACTCATTTGATTTTCAAGCTCTAAAAACTATTGGTAAGTGATGAAAATACTTTATTTTCTCTTAAACGCTATTTCTGATACTCCGAATTATTTGAAACCAAAACAACTGAAGTCAACACAAAAAAGAAAATAAATCAATAGGTGTTAATGATGAAGTTTAATAAACAAATAGCTAATAATTATTTGTTGTTTTATGTGTTAATTGTGAATGTTGTTCTTTTTTCAAAAACAACAAATACTAAACATAAAATTGAACCATTTATCTATGAAGTTAAATATTATGTAATTATTGAAGGATGAACATTAACTACTCTTAGTAATTACAAGAAATAGAGGTTTATAGAAAAACTCTAATGAAGTATTTTATAGAAGATATGGACATGTCAAAAATTAATGTTATTAGAGGATTTTAGTAAATATCATTGTATCATCTGACTATTATAAATAAATAAATTAAATAAGTGACATGACTTACTTGAGCATTCCATATTTGTTGTTTTTAATAAGTAGAATATAATTTGTTTTTAAAAATATGTATATGAACAGTACTGAGTGAATTTATATAAGACTATTGTTTAAAATAACGTAAACAAATACAATAAATGTAATTAAGTTATAGCGTATTACTAAAATCTTTTTATTAAAGAATGTTGTTTCACAACTCCATATTTTCACTATTACCATCATCTCTATTTTCTTCTTCACTGTTCTCATCATTATTCTCATCTCCATTTTCTTCATTATTCTCATCTCCATTTTCTTCTCCTAAATCACCAATAATTCTAAATCCATTAAGAATATCTTCAAGTCGTCCACCATTTAACAATGCTCTAAATAATAAATCTTCTACTCCAAGTGCATGTTCATTATTTGTAGTAATGTTTCTTCTACGATTAAGTAACGCTGGTCTAACTTCTCTAACAGCATTAGGAAATTTCTTACACATAAACTGAGTAATAATTCTCATGTCTATTGCAATTTCTCCAGTTAATAACATATTTACAGCAACTTCTTTATTTCCAGCACACATACAATAAGCAACAACAGCAACTTGTTGGTCAAACCCAATATCACTCAGAATTAATATGTCATCTTTTTGTTGTTGAGTTAAATGATTAAAAACTTGCATCATTTCTTCTTCAGTTAAAGGTTGTTCTTCTTTATCACTATCATCAATTGTCATATCTGTCTTTTCAAATAAATTAATATCTTTATTTTGATATTTTGAAACATAAACAACAACGATTTCTTCTCCATTCTGTAATTCAACTTGTTCTTTTTCTAATGGCTCTCCTTTTTGAAATATAGTAAATTCCTATACAATTCATTAACCCATTTATTTTTTTTTTGAATTAAACCCTGCAATATTAAATAAACAACAAACAGTATTATCTCTATCTTTTTGAGAATTACAAATTAAACGTTTTAATTCATTCAATGTTAATATACTAGGAACATTTATGGTTGTTTTTTCATTTTCAAGTCTATTAACTAAAATTTCTATTGTTTGAGAGTCACTCATTGTTCTTTATGTAATGATTTTTCTTGTTCTTCTTTCGATTTTTATATTTTTGTCTTTTCAAACAAAAACATTTTTTTCGGTAAAACTTCAATAACTTTTGTGTTATTTAGTCTGTGGTTTTTCTCTTTCATCTCAAAATAATATACTCATTCATCAAAAAAGTTATGCCAGAAGCAACGATTATTATTATAGATACATCTGATTATATGAGAAATGGTGATTATACCCCAAGTCGAATGGAGGCACAGATTGAAGCAGTTCAAGCAATCACTTCAGGAAGATTAAGAAAAAATCCAGAAAATCATGTTGGTTTCATTGCTGCTGGAAGTGAATCGTTTGTTTTTTTTTTCTATTCTAATACAAAGTAAGAAAATAGATTTAAACTTCATATCAATAACATAACTCACCTTAAATAGAAAGAGAATCCTTGTTACTCTTACAGGTGATTTTGGAAAAATTTTAAGTGGATTACATGAAGCCAAAATTGGTGGTTCAAGTGACTTCAAACAAGCGTTATTAGTAGCTAAATTAGCACTTGCTAATAGAGTTGATAAAATATACACACAACGAATCATTTTATTTGTTGGATCACCTTTAAATATTAATTCAGATGAAGCACAAACAATGGTTAATTTATTAAAGAAAAGTAATATTGCATTAGACATTGTTTCATTTGGAGAGGTTGTTGATAATGCACCAGTCATTGAGTTATTCCCATCTCAAATGGGGGATGATTGTACTTTAGTAACAGTTCCAGCAGGACCACATATTTTACTTGATATGATTTCTAAAACTAATATTATTATGAGAGATGGAGGATTAAATACATTTGATCCAGAATTTGATCCAGAGTATGCTGCTGCTATTCGTGCATCCATGGGAGATGTTAATGGTGGAACAGAATTCTATGATGAAGATGCAGCATTAAGAGCTGCTATTGCAGCATCATTAGCAGACTATGAAAATTTACAAACAACAAATGTCCAAGAATCAAAAAAAGAAGAACAGAAAGAAATGACAATGGAAGAAGAGATTGAAGAAGCAATTAAAATGTCATTAGAGGATAATGCCAAAAGTAATCAATCTAAAGAAGAAAAGAAAGAAGAAAATGATGATAAAAAAATGGAAGAAGACAAAAAAAATAAATAAAATATGAATTTTTAAAAGTGTTGCGTTCTTTTTGTTCAATGTTTTTATTATTTTTATTCAACAAATGAATATCCATTTAATAATTCTTCTATATTAATAAAATTAAAGCAAGTATTTTCTGTAAATGGTGGAAATGGTTGGGTTGATTGAAGAAGCACAATGTCATTATTAGTTTTCATTGAAATGTCATTTAATTCTTTAGCCAATTCTGTTTTTCTGAAATGATGAATTCTTGAAACATAATGTGTTGATTCAAGTATATAATGTAAAGTAATTTTAGAATTCATTTCAACATCAAAAACGAGAGCTACAACAAGACAATTAAATGGTAATTTAGTTTGTGCTAAAATAAGTAAATCACTTAAATCATTTTTTTCAATAAATCTAAAAAGACATCCTTGTGAATATAATACATATAATGTTCTACTTTTTGTTAGTATTTCAAAGTATTTTAATAAAATGTCAATACAAAATAAACATCGTTCTTCATTAATATATCCTCCACGAGGACAACCAATAGATGGAAGATATCTCTCAGTTATATAATATGCTTGTTCATAATCAAAACTTGGTAATTTTTGTCTACTTTGTGACTCTAATGAAAGAAGTGCAATAGAATTAAAATAATTGAATAATCTATCAATAGGAACAGAACATAATATAGAATTTGAAAATACTACATCATTTAATAATGAACTTTGTGAAATAAACCATTGAGAATTATTAGTAATAATTATCATTCTTCTTTTATTTGTTGATAAAAATGTTGTTGTAATAAAATTTCCATCTTCTTTAGGTAAATTAACTGAAACTGAAACTCTTAATTCTATTTTTTCTTTATTTGTTCCTTTTAATGTTGTACAATTAAATGTTGAACATAACACACATCCTCCACAAAATGGATATGGTTCAAATTTGTTTTTTTCATAATCAAGATATTCATTAATAGGTAAACAATTATTTGATGATGTAATAATAACATTAGGATAATCAACTTGTAATGTTGGTAAATGAACTGAAGATCCTGATAATAAAAATACTTTCATTTGTATTTCTTTTCCTTTCATAATTGATATTGGAACAAGAGACTCAACTAAATATACAGTAATTGGGTATGTTATACTCTGTGTTGTTAAAAATGTTTGACATTCATAAAGATAAATCTTTGTTTGTTCAATATATAATTGTAAAAGTTGAATAACAATACGATAAATAATAAGTTCATTAGTACTCATAATATTTGTATTAAAATAATTCTTTATAGAAAATACTAGGTGTTGAACTTGTTGTAAAAAATACATTAATATATCATAAACTATTTGGAGTGTTGACATATCCTTATTTTGAATAATCCATTGAATACCTTCTCTCATCTGTGCAAATAAATAATTAAAACATTCCTTTCTTTCAAAAACAAAATTACAATTTTTATATAATGACTTTGTTGTTTCAATAAATGGTACTTCAGAAATTGGACATCCATAAATTGAAGAATATTCTTGAATCGGTAATATGAAAATATCTCGTATTTGAAACAATGGAAAATGATTTTGAATTTCAGTACTATTAATACATGAGTCAATAAATAATGCTTTACAAGGTGATAATTGAACTGGTAATGGAAGAGAATCATAATCAACATTTTTTAATTCTAACGGATTTTTTACTGACTCAAATAATGCAGTTGTTAAATACATGAATTGTTCATAGTTTTAGAGTTGACTCTTTTCTTTAGAACAATGATAAATGATGAGATTAAATCTTTTCTTTTCTGTTATTTATCACTTAGATAAACTATTAACTAAAATTATAATAAAAATATGAAACTTATTTTGTTTCTATGAATAAAATATGAAACAAGGAAAAACCCTTCAAATTAAAACCACAAGTAACTAATAAATTAGTTGTTCGGGGGTTTAATGTCACACAGAAAGTTTGAAGCACCAAGACACGGATCACTTGCTTTCCACCCAAGAAAGAGAGTTCATAAAGTAAGAGCTACTGTCTCTGCATTCCCAAAAGATAATGCTGCTGAAAAACCACATCTTACTGGATTCCTTGGATTCAAAGCTGGTATGACTCATGTTATTCGTGAAGTTAAGAGAACAAACACTAAACTTCCAAAAGATGGAGTTTTAGAACCAGTCACCATTATTGAAACACCACCAATGGTTGTTGCAGGATTTGTTGGATACAAAAAGACTACTACTGGACTTAAACCAATTACAGCTGTTTTTGCTGAACATATTGCTGATGAATTCAAAAGAAGATATACTAAGAAATGGTACAAAAATACTAAAAATCAATTTGCTGTTCATACCGAAAAATACAATGATGTAAAAGCTAAATCAAAGAGAGAAAGACAAATTAGATTAATTAAGAATAGATGTGATGTTGTTAGAGTAATTGCACATACTCAAATGGCACTTGTTCCATTAAAACAAAAGAAAGCTGAAGTTATGGAAATTCAAATTAATGGAGGATCAATTGCTGAAAAAGTTGACTTTGCTGTCTCACTTCTTGAAAAACAAATTAGTGTTAACTCAGTCTTTGGAACTGATGAATGTATTGATGTATGCTCAGTTACTAAGGGACATGGATATAATGGTGTTATTAAGAGATTTGGTGTAAGACATCTTCCAAGAAAGACTCACAGAGGATTAAGAAAAGTTGCTTGTGTTGGAGCATGGCATCCAGCTAGAGTTTCATGGACAGTTGCTAGAGCTGGTCAAATGGGATTCTTCAAGAGAACAGAAGTTAACAAAAAGATTTACAGACTTGGATGTGGTGACCTTAAGAACGCTAAAACAGAATTTGATATTACAGAAAAAGGTATTACTCCAATGGGAGGATTCCCACATTACGGAGTTGTTAAGAACGATTTCTTGATGATCAAAGGAACTGTAGCAGGTATTAGAAGAAGAGTTATTTCATTAAGAAAAGCATGCTTCCCATCAACCACTAGAACAGCTCAAGAACAAATTGTTCTTAAATTCATTGATACATCATCTAAATATGGACATTCTAGATTCCAAACAACCACCGAAAAGAAAGCACGTATGGGACCAATGAAGAAAGACCTTGAAAGACAAAGAGCTGAAAAGGTTGAAGAAGGAAAGAAACTTTAAAGATAATTGAAAGAACAAGAATTAAAGAAATTAAAAATTTTAATAGTTTTTTTAATAAAAGAAGGAAGAAAGAACTTAAATAATATTAAATAAAAAAATATGACTCAACAAACATTTAAAATAATTCTTGTTGGAGATTCATTTGTTGGAAAAACATCAATTATAAATAGATTTATTAATGCAGAATATTCAACGGATTATAAGTCTACAATTGGATCAGATATATCACAAAAAGAAATTATTGTTGATGGATTATTATATTCACTTAGTATTTGGGATACTGCAGGACATGAAAAATATCAAAGTGTTATTAAATCATTTTATCGTGGAAGTGATTTTTGTTTATTAGTTTATGATGTTACTAATGAAGAATCTTTTATGCATTTAGATAAATGGTGGAATGAATATCAACAAGAAGATGTTGACAAAGCAAGGGAGGCTGTTGTAATGGTTATTGGAAATAAAGTTGATAAAAGTCAAGAAAGAGTAATTACTGAAGAACAAGGAAAGTCTCTTGCTAATGAAAGAGGATGGTTATATAAAGAAACTAGTGCATCAGAAAATATAGGTATTGAAGAAATATTTAAAGAATTGATACGTTCAAAAAATCCATTAAAAAATTCGTTTGTTTTTATTGTTATTTTATTTAGGTATTACATTTCCAATTGAAAATATTATTGATTTTTAAATAGAGTAAAATATCCTCAACCACCCCCAATAGTTGAAATACAATTAAATGTTCACAAAAAACAATGTTGTTGAATTAAAGAATTGGTAAATTTTAAAACCATTAAACTATATTTTTATTATTATTATATTAGTTATTTATTATTTATGAAAATATTTGGCGTTATGAAAAAATGACAAATGAGACTCATAATGAGTGTTTATGAAAAGGTTTTTTTTATAGTGAAAATTAAAAATAGAAAATCTTATTTTAATTAAGGAAAAAAGAGAAAAGATTCTAATAAATCGGGAAAATAAAGTGGAAATTACCAAAGAACTAAGGAAACTATGAACTGGAAATTTATAAAATGAGTGGTTTGTTAATCATTTAACCTGAAAAGACAAATGAAACAAAAAGACAGGAATACTTATTTCTAGTATTTTCACATAAAAGAAAGTCTTCTTTTGTAAGAGATTCTAAAGACAAAGAAAAGGGAAGAGATGAGGAAACAAAGGAAGATAAGGAGGCATTAAAAAAAGAAATGGAAATACTCAATAAACCAATGGAAGATAGTTATGTTAGTTTGTTCATTAATTTTATTCTATAAATATTACTATAAAGGTAAATTATTTAACTGGTATTTATATTGTTTTAGAATTTAAAACATCATCACGTGGAAAATTAGTCACTAATGGTGACATTATTAAAATGGTTATCAAAGGTCTGAGTCATAATAGTGATCAAAGTGGTGCTACTGTAGAAGAATTCTTCAAACAAATAGATTCTAGAACAATGACAGATGAAAATAAAAAACATTTTAAAAGAGTAGTTAGTGAAATGACAAGTTCAGAAAAAGTACATTTAAGAGGACTTGAGATTTTGAATGAAGTATATTTAAAACCAATTGTAATGAGTGATAATAAAGAATGGTCTTCTATTGCTAAAAAAATACAAAGTGATATTTCTACTCTTATTAATGTACATAAAAGATTTTTAGAAATGATGGAAGAAGGACAAGCAAATGCCAAAGGTGATTCTTTACCAGTATTTGGAGATAAATTCATTAAGAATCTACAATTTTTGAAGATGGCATCTAGTTATATTAATAAATATCCACAATATCTTGAACAAATGACAAACCATTTCAAAAAAGAAAAAGATTTAATTAAAGCACAAGAAAAGGCTAAGGAACAATATATGAAAGAACATTCTGATGTTAAAAATATTCAAGCCATTTCATTTTATTTAATTACACCAATTCAAAGAATACCACGATATGAATTATTAATTCGAGATATGTTAAAAGACACAGGGAAAGATTATGAAGGATTAGAAAAATTGAAAACAGCATATCAAGAAGCCAAAAAATCATCTGAAGGAGCTAATTCACTTAAAATTCAATCTGAAGAGAATTATAAAGTATTGCTTATGAGAGATATTATCAAAGGAGGAAAGGAATTGGCAAAAGACGCAAGTGGAAGAAGATATATCTGCAGTGGACCAATGTTTGTTGTACCTAACCTTAAGGACAAGTTAAAAGATCTATACTATTTCTTCTTATTTAAAGATATTTTTGTTCAAACAAAAGTGAAAAAGTTACATGGAGAAAGTATTAAAAAGATGGATGGTGATACGGCACACTTTGTTTATAATAAGTTTATGGATATGGAAGATTTTAATGGATTGGCTGATTGTGTCTTTGAGTGTGAAAAAGAATGGAAAGTTAACGCTGGTTGGAAATTAGTACAAACTAAAGGAACAGAAGAAGTTCCATTTGTTATTAATTTATTTATGGGAAATACATGTGAAAATTGTAAATTTGCTGTTAACAGTGAAGAAGAAAGAGATGTTTGGGAATCTGTTTTATTTGACCAAATTGTTGGAAGAAGAAAGACACTAGAAAATATTGCAGGTAGAAAAAGACATGTTACTATAGATACTAGTAACACTAATCATTCTACAACTGCAACACTAAGACAAAAGTTTATCGAACCAGACTCGGAATATCTGAAATATAAAGCACCTAATGGTGGGGTTTTAATTAACAACGGGGATATTATGAAGAATGTTATTAAAACATTAGAGTCTAATGCTGATCAAAGTACAAATAATATTGAAGAATTCTTCAAACAAATAGATTCTAGAACAATGACAGATGAAAATAAAAAACATTTTAAAAGAGTAGTTAGTGAAATGACAAGTTCAGAAAAAGTACATTTAAGAGGACTTGAGATTTTGAATGAAGTATATTTAAAACCAATTGTAATGAGTGATAATAAAGAATGGTCTTCTATTGCTAAAAAAATACAAAGTGATATTTCTACTCTTATTAATGTACATAAAAGATTTTTAGAAATGATGGAAGAAGGACAAGCAAATGCCAAAGGTGATTCTTTACCAGTATTTGGAGATAAATTCATTAAGAATCTACAATTTTTGAAGATGGCATCTAGTTATATTAATAAATATCCACAATATCTTGAACAAATGACAAACCATTTCAAAAAAGAAAAAGATTTAATTAAAGCACAAGAAAAGGCTAAGGAACAATATATGAAAGAACATTCTGATGTTAAAAATATTCAAGCCATTTCATTTTATTTAATTACACCAATTCAAAGAATACCACGATATGAATTATTAATTCGAGATATGTTAAAAGACACAGGGAAAGATTATGAAGGATTAGAAAAATTGAAAACAGCATATCAAGAAGCCAAAAAATCATCTGAAGGAGCTAATTCACTTAAAATTCAATCTGAAGAAAATGATAAAGTAGAATTTATTTTATCTTTGATTGATGCTGATTTTGGAATATTGCCGTCAAGAAGATTTATATGTTGTGGGCCAATGTACTTAACTAATAATTTAGTTAGTAAGCCAACACAATGGAATTATTTCTTTTTGTTCAGTGACAGATTGATTGGGACTGTGATCAAGAAGTATCATGGAAAAGAAGTTAGAGATGAAAAAATGATGGAAGAAGCAATAGAAGAAATTAATAAAATTGGTGATTATCAACAGTTACAAGACTTCCAATTTGCTAAAGAGATTGATGCTTTATTTACTGAAGGAAGTGGAATATACCTTATTGAAGATTGTGAAATGGTAAAGAATATGGTTAGTTGCAAACTAAACCAAATTCCATATAAATTTTCATGTGAAACAAAAGAAGAGTGTGAAGCATGGAACTCATTAATATTTGATCAAGTGGAACGTGTGAATGCCTTAGCTAAAAAGAAAGTTGAAACAGTTAAAGCTAATAAATAAAATTCATTGGTTAAAGAAAAGTCAAACAATGACTTGATACATTTATTTTGATTTTTTATTTGATAATTAATGATAAACTAATGTCAATAATATTCTATAAAGTTAAATTCTAAGAAGCATAAAATTAAATAAAATTTATTGTCTGTTGAATGTTGATTTATCAATAAGCATTAGTTAGTGTCAATGAATAAAATATTTTTAATAACAATTATTGTTTTTATATATATAAGAGATAGAAATAATAAACATTTTCTTTCTCTCCTTAAAGAGTTACAAGATAGAATATAATTTAAGTAAAGATAAAAAAGTAATTGTTTTATAATAAAAATAGATATAATTTGTTAATACAAAACAATATTTGGATATCAAATAAAATAATAAAGTTTTGTGTATGAAAATAAAATAATAATTTATATGTCTTTATTAGTTTTGTTTCATTACATCATAAAAGAGAAGAATATAAATTATGTAATTTAAATAACTTGAATATGATTCATAACCAGAAACAAAACAAATATAAAATAAATTAATTCATTGTTTTTAAAAAGTGATGAAGTGATTGATAAATAAGTTGTTTTTGTTTAATAGATAAATTGAATTCATAAAATATTGGTTTTAAAGGAGGGAATTTTGTAATGTATTTAACGTTTTTAGATTTGAACGTTAAAGCAAGATAAGTTTCTACTACAAAAATTTGGATTTGTTCATGAATTATTACATTGTTTAATACCTCTTTTGGAATAAATTCAACATTAGAATATGGAATAGATGTTGACTCTTTAATCAACTCAATTCCTTTGGACTGGTCAGCAATAATAGTAACTTTTAAATTTAATATTATGACTCTCTTTAAGACTGTTGTAAAAAATAAAACAAACCTTTATTAATTGAAGTTAAAAATTTATAAATTGAATACACAAAAAATCCTATTAAACACCACACTCCATAACTCAATAATTCCGTTCTAACTTGATACAAATACAAGACTAAAACACTAGCTACCAAAAGTAGACCACCAATTTTAAAAAATGAAATCTTCTTTGTTTTTTCCACTGAAATTTGAAGTGTTGTAATTGAAGGATTATTGATAGAAATATTTACGTCAGTCATTACTTTATTAGTTCCATTCTTCTTTTTAGAAAAAAGTTCTAACCCTATTTAAATAACACAACTCTTGTTATCAATTATTTCTTGTTAAATTTTTTTAGTTTAATATTTTTAATCTTTCTTATCTATTCAGTATTTATTTTTAAAATGTTAGAAAATAAATATATCAATTACAGTTTAATATGCTTCTTTGTTTTTCTTGTTTTTTGTTTGAGTTTTTGGAAGTATTAAGTCTTACAACGAATGATGTTATATTTTTTTACAGAATGTCCAATACTATAGAATAGATCCTTTTTCCAATGCAGGAAATACAACAAAATATTATTGTAACGATTATTGTATAATAACAATGTGTATTGTAAAGAAAAACACACAAGACATAGAAATCCAATCTCATATAATAAAAAATTAAATATCAATAGCAAGAAATATCAAAGAAATAATAATAAGGGTAAAAGAAATACCAAGGAAAAAGTGTTTAGAAGACGAAAGACACAAATAAAAACAAATAAAAAACAAGGAAAATACAATAATAATAAAGATTACACAAATATCAAATATAAATGATTAACAATAAATGATATACAAAGAAGAGTATGAAGAATAAAAAGTGAATAGAGTAAAGGAGAATATGAAGAAATACTCAAGAAGTAAGAAGATAAAAGAAAAAGATGGTATGATATTCAACAAGAAGTATATTCAATCAAAAGGAAAAAATAATTAAAAAACTAAAGAAGAGTTTAAAGAAAGAAGATATTAAAACGATTGAAGCAGAAATTAAAACCAAAACCAAAGAAGAAAGGATAGAAGAAGAAGAAATTAATAAAGAAGAAATTAACACACTTCAAAATCAAATTAAGAAAATAAAAAAAGACATTAAAGAATGTCAAATGAAGAAGAATGAAAAAGAGTGAACCATCTCAGAAGAAATGATGTAAAAAGGCAAAAAATAGTTAGAAAAGAAAATGAGAAAGAAATACTTATATTATTAAGAAAGTTAAGTAATTTATCAGCAACATAATAACATCAAGTTTTGAATTTATTAAGTACAATTTATTTAAGCTATTAAAACTAATCATAATTCAAGAATAAAATTCATTATTAATCAAAGTATATTCTTTTAGATTATTCATTATGAAATATAGTTAATGATATTGGAGTTAATACCCAATTCAACATTTGTTAACATACAACAACCAAACTATGGATATAGTAACACGACTGTTTATATAAAAATAGAATAGTTGTTAATAATAACCCAAAACAACTATTTGATGACTTTGATTTTAGCCATTAACCCAAATCTGTTAGTTCAAATTATATCACAAGACAATTAACAAGCTACTAGCAAGTAATAAACCACTTGTTGGAGGAAAATAAGAAATTGCCAAGACATGAAAATAAATAGATTTAGAAGCAAACCAAAATAATAAAATACAAAATAAATTTAACCACAAAAATACAACAAAACACAAATGAATATAAAAGAATATAAGGATAAGAAATAATATATAACAAAGTAATACACATAATTATAAGAATTTGAAGATTAATACACAAAAAATATAAATACCTAAAAAAGAATGAACAATAAAACAGAGATATGACTAACCACTTTAATAACATTTATAAATGCAAGAATTATTAATATCTGTTGTACGAAACTCTATTAATTTGATTTAAAGGTTTACTTTAAAAAATATGATTAAAAAATGAAAAATAACATAGAAATTGATTTATTTTATTTCATCTTATTATTAAAATTTGTTTTTGAATTATAAAATGTCTTATAAAACATTTTAATATTTTTTCATTAGATTGACTTAATGAATTAAATCTCTAAGTCAATAATCAAAATGAACAGAAAACGGGTAGTTACTGTAAATGACATTATTTACCAAAACTCTTTAAACACTTATTACCGTAACATAACACAATGGATAAATAATCATTTGACTCATTCAACTATTCTTATAACTCCATGTGAATATAATAAAATTCCTCAATTAAAAGATTTTCTCAACTTACTAAATCAAACAAACTCATTTTCCTTGAAAATGTGTCCGTTAAATAATTCTTTCAATTCACAAAATAGTTGTTCTTTTGATTCAATGAAAGAATGGATAATCATATCGTCTCAAATGCATAGCCTCTTTGGTAATGACTGGAAACGAAGTTATTTATTTTGTTATTGTGAAATTACTGTCGAGCAACTAATTTCATTAGTGTTGGAATACGCTAAGTGTGCTAAAATGCCTTTGATACTTGCAATGCCCCAAAACCAGATAACTGAAATTCAAACATCAAGTAAGAATATTACTCCTTTTCGACATACTATTTCGTTTCTTCAAGATAATATTTCTAATAATATATTATAAAAATTATTTTCTATAACTTATTTATTTTTTATAAATAAAAAAAGCAAACTTTGTATTTTAAAATGATCAATATCGAAGAAGTTGGCATTTGTGCAATTGTTTTAATTGTCATTGTTGGGATTATTCTTTTACTTACTCAGTACTACTCAACAAAAACACCTCATAGAGTTTCTGTATTTAACTGGTTTTGGAATCGACAGTCATATATACCAAATGAACCTTATTCAACACAACTCAGAAGGTATCCATCAGACTTTGATAGAAGTGTCAGTCTTAGTACGAACAGTCTTTATAATGACTATAACAAATATGCACCTCAAGTCACAAGAGAAACAATTCCAATTAGAAGAGACAATGACTACCAAGTAAGGTCTATGGAGAACGACGTGAGAACAAGACAATTTTCAAATGAAAACTTGATAGATATTGATAGTGAAGATCAGATGGAAGAAACTTCCGTCCATCATCCTTTAAATCCAGAACATCATTATCAGGAAGATTGGGTTTCAATTAACCAAGACATTGACAACCCACAGTCTAGAATGGATAGAAGTGAGATTTCAGGATTTCTTTATTCAAATGGTCAAAAACAAAACAAATATGATACTATACTTGAAGATGGGTTTACTCTAAACAACCAAAATACAACGCCCTATCGAAATTCATACCAACAACAGTATCAACAACCTTATTCTGGATATACTTATTTCCCTCATTAATTATCTGTTAACTTTAATAACCCATGATTATTTCTTTTCTATTTTTTATCTTGAAAAGTTTAAAATAATCTAATCAGCTCTAGTCATGAAAAAACTATTTGAAGGGAAAAAAATAAGTAAAATAATCTTATAAGAATCACATCATAATGATAATAAGATTTTAACTAGAACTTATAAACTATTAAATCTAAAAACCTAATCAGATCTATGCGTGAAGTGATTACTATTAATATTGGTCAAGCTGGATGTCAACTTGGAAATAAATGTTGGGAGTTATTTTGCCTTGAACATGGAATTCAACCAGATGGAACAGCCATTGCCAATTCTAATGAAAAAAGGTCAGTTATAACTGGAGGAATAGATACTGCTTATAATGCCTTTTTCCAAGAACTCCAAAATGGAAGACATGTTCCAAGAGCTATTTTTGTCGATACTGAACCTACTGTAATTGATGAAATTAAAACTGGAGAATATTCTGGACTTTATCATCCTGAACATTTAATTTGTGGTAAAGAAGATGCATCCTCTAATTTTGCTAAAGGAAAAACAGGATATGAACCATTACTAAATCAAACAATGGATGCTATTAGAAAAGCTACAGAAAATTGTACAGGATTACAAGGATTTTTCATTTATAATTCTGTTGGTGGAGGAACTGGAAGTGGTTTTACTGCAGCATTATGTGAGAAATTAGCAGACAAATATACAAAAAAGACTAAATTGAACACTGTTATTTGGCCATCACCAAAACTTTCTAGTGGAGTTGTTGAGCCATATAATGCTGTGTTAAATACTCATGCTATGATGAAATTTGTAAATTGTACTTTTATGGTTGATAATGAATCAATTTATAAAATATGTCAAAAACAATTAGGAGTTCATAGTCCATCATATTTCCATTTAAATCAATTAATTGCACAAGCCATGAGTTCTATTACTGCATCATTAAGATTTGAAGGTACATTAAATGTTGACTTAAATGAATTTCCAACTAATCTTGTTCCATTCCCAAGAGACCATTTTGCTATGATGTCATATGCACCAATTGTTACACCAGAAAAAGCTATTAGACAAACATTATCAGTTCAAGAACTTACATCATCATTATTTGATCCAAATAGTTTAATGATTCAATGTGATGATATTAATAAAGGTAAATTTATGAGTTGTTGTATGATGTATCGAGGAGATGTTTCATCACGTGAAGTTAATCTTGCTGTTAGTGGAATTAAGAAACAAAATACAGTTCCATTTGTTGGATGGTGTCCATGTTCATTTAAATGTGGTATTAATAGTCAACCAGCTACTGCTGTTCCTGGTAGTTCATATGCTTCTACTGCTAGAAGTGCATGTATGATTGCTAACCATACAGCTATGTGCCAAGTATTCCAAAAAGTAAATCAAAACTTTGATTTAATGTTTGGTAAAAGAGCCTTTGTTCATCATTATGTTGGAGAAGGAATGGAAGAAAATGAATTTACTGATGCACGACAAGACTTGTATGAACTAGAAGTAGATTATGCCAATCTTGCTCTTGACAACACAATTGAAGGAGAATCAATGACAGCACAATAAATTTAGACAAACCTTTCATTTAATTAAAATTTTATTGAAAAAATTTTTATCATATTTTTATAAAAAAAATAGATTCTGAAGTATATAAGAAACATGAATTTAAGACTTTATAGAATATTCATATTCAAGTTTTAAATATCTATTAGGACATTCCTCATCTGTCATTGGAGCAACTAGGTATTTTTGTTATTCTTTTACTGTTATAAAGTCTTAAAGAAGTTAATCATCTCTTTTCCTGTAACAAAGAATATATAATGACTTTGAGACTTGTCTTTAAAAAAAGAAAGAAAGGTGTCAATTCTTTCTTGACAAACCAAAGTCTATGAAAGTAAACACAAAAAACGACTTCTTGAATTCTTATAATGCCTCTAAAAATTATATTCTAAAGCTCTATATAATCCAGAACCAGTTAAGTTATAATCTATTACCTCTATACAACTTCTATTTTCAAAAATCTGTTTAGACAAATGAATTTCCTATAGTTCAAGATATGGTTTATCAAACATTCCAAACCTAGTTCCATAATTAATTTGAGGTAGCCAATAATTAAGAGTAAATGACTACAATGCAAAAATTTGTTATAATAACCTTCAAATCCTGTATCACCAACAGTTAACCAAATGAATTGAGGTAACTTAATTGGTAGGATGTAATTTGGGGTTTTGTTTTGCACATCTACAATTAGTTATTGACAAATTGATGTATGTGAATAAATACTACATACCTTACAATCATAGAATAATTACTACACGTTTTTGAACCTTCACAAATATTCACTTTGTAATAAGTTTTGATACATTGGTTTACATAACAAATATAATATTTTGGTTATAACCCACAATAAAAACTATAACAATTATCTTATTTGGCTTTACATTTAACCTATTACATACACTTTTACTAGGCATTGTTGTCGACAATCTTAACACATGATATACTAAAATCCATTATGTTGTAAAATACATTTATTAATGCATTAACCTTTGTTTAAAATACACACTTTAAAAGGAGCAATTAAACGAAAAAACATAGGACTCTTAATATTACAATACATCTAATTCTCCTTTATAAATAATAAAATAATCAGAAGATGAATGCCTTAACCAATAGTTGCTTCTTCACACAAACTAATAACAAGCGTAAAAGCAATTCACCTTATTTTCGTTTTGATAATATTATCTCATTTGTTTATTCATTTTAAAAAGTTCTTTTCTACAACTCTATCTCCTTCAAGTAATTTTTTTATTTGCTCTGCTAAAATCAGAATTTTGGTAAAAAAATTAAATTTACAACCAAAAGTCTTAAAAAAATAAAACTTCAAATATTCAATTCATTCTATCTTGCTTCAAATTCAACAGCTATTTCTTGTTAATATTCAATTGTATACTTTATGAACCAAATAAGAAAAGGAACAAACGTTCTGGAGTTCTCTTTTTATATAAAATTCTACATTGACATTGAGAACAACAAATATTACTTTCTTTTACTTTAAAAGAAGTTTCAGCTCCACATTCTTAATCATATTAATTTGAATTATTCATTACAGATTAACACTAATAAAATTAAAAACAAACTAGCACATATGTATTGGACACGAGCATTTCTTTGTGCATCATAGGTAATTCTATCACTCATTATGATTTATATATCTTAATTCAGATTTTAAACCCTTTTTTTTTTAATTTTAGAATTTCGTTTAGGTTTTCCTCATTGATTTTTCTTTAACTCAAAAAAAGAAAAGAAGAGATAGAAAATGATTGAATTTCTCATTTTTCCCCCTTTATAACAATATATTTGATAAAAAACAGAAACAATGTATCGTTAATTTCAATTAAATCATTATAATAAAATGAAAATTACCATTAGTACTGCTACAATGAATGACATGGAACTGGCACATACCTTAGTAATACCAGGAACTTCTGTATTTGCATCCTTTAAATCATAACCGTTATCACATGTTTTACATTCTGTAGAAGTACATTCATTACAATTAGTGAAAAAGCTATGACATTCTAATGATCAGTTTATATCTAACTAAATACCACCCACCAAACCAATAAAATATAAAAACAAACCCATACATACAAAGTTTGACACTTTTACATATCCTTCAATACATTGATCACATCCAATAGAGCCAAAAGTTTTACATCCAATAAATCGGCTTTTTTCAACACATAGTCCTGTTTGAGAAATAAAATAACCATTATTACATTCTTCACATTTGCTATCTGTTCCATTTACACATCTCATGCAATTAGAAACACCACACTGAGCAAAGGTAATAGCAATCAACAGTATTATAACTTCGAGTTTCATGTTTTAATTGACTGAGTTCTTTTCTTCAAAGAACTATTCACACTTTATCTTTTTTTTTCTTTTTTCTTCTATAGCTTTTAAGAATTTTCTTTTGCTTCTTTCTAGAATTTTTTTGTTTTTTGTTTTTAATTTTTTTGTTTTTGTATTTTTGTTATTTTGGGTTAAGTCTTCTTTCTGTTTGTTCGTCAGATAAAGTATTAATTTTTCTTTCTTTAGTATCAAGAGTTTCTTGATTAAATAATAATTAGTTTTATACAGTTTTGAAAGGATTGCTCTTAATGAAAATCATGTCTTGTTATAAATTCTATTCTAATTTATTATTATTTCACTAGATTCTATAATAAAATAACAAAATGATATATCATTTATTGTTTTATATATCAT